GTTCAAATGAAAGCTTGACCCCACCGCAAGGCCTGTGGCAGAGACCTTAACTCCATGCCGCAGAGATAGCTCAGTTCCCACCTACTAGAGTCAAAACAGGCTTCCAACCAGTATGAGGGAAGGGTCAGGATTCTCCTATATATATATTCATATAGGAAAATAGTATTTCCCTATCATTACTATTTACATTTTCCTTTGGGGGTTTCCAGGTATTAAAGTGGGCTTTCAGGTGTGGTTTATTTTATTCTTTCTATTTACAATAATTGACCTTGAATTTGACTGTTCGAGAGAATTATGCGGAGCTGTCTTTAATTTTTTTTTTTAAGATTTATTTATTTATGTATAGAAGCGCTGGGATACAGGCTAGAGGTGTGGAACCGTCTTTAATAAACACCAACTCCAGAGCTACTCATCTGGGTCACTGAGTCCAGATTTCCTGCATTTTTTTTTTTTTTCAAAGTTGCTGGTGATTCTAACACCCAGGATTTACAGTCTAGTTACAGGTTCTCTTCTGCTCTGCCATTCTGCTTTCCTTCCTTCCTTTTTTTTTTTTCTTTTTGCAGTGGGCTATACTCAAAATCTGACTACCACAGACAACAGCTTTGGAAGTGAGACAACATTCTCAACTTCTAACCACCACCATTTTACAAATCACATTTTGGAAGAAATCTGTCTGTAAACCTGAAACACTTTTAGGACTAGTGGCTCAGAATTAGAAAGATGGTTATGTTCCTTCTTCAAGATACCCATAGAATGCACAGATGTCTCACTGCAAATTCTTGTGCATTATTTGAAGTCTTCACCGTATTCACAATAGCCCAAACACAAAGAATTAAGACATGACCTAAATCTAATAGGTACTTAAATATTTTAGTTAGGTTGCTATTTTTTGTTGTTGCTGTTGTTGCTCTAAATAAAATGACCCAGATCTCCCTTAATCTCCCTGTGGGAATTCTCCTTGGCCTTTAATTACTAATCTCTGTTGCTCCTTCAGGTTCTTCGAGTTACTCTTGGCTTGCCAACAGGGACTTGAATACTTTCAAGGTACAACAGTACGGATAAATGATAGATTTTAAAAGCAGTCATGTATTTCTTTAGGAGAATCTAATGACTGGGGAGGGAATTAGACAAGTGCGCCCAATTCTAAAGGTCTGAAGATTGGTGCACTGCTTCAGAGAAAGTTTCCTTTAGAATTCCTTTATTTAGCAGTTCTGCTGCATCTGAGCTGTAGGCAGTTTCCGGGATTCCTATTATATAAAGATCAGCTTCTGCATGTAATAATCTTGAACCCACTCATATTCTCTTTCATTCTCTTCTCCCCTCTCCTCTGAATTTTGTGAGTGTTTTCCATTCTCCTTCTTTATTAACTTGTTTCTTTGCAGTTTCTCTAATGTTTTCTCAAATGTTTCCAGGGTTTTTTTTTTTTTTTTTAAAGATTTATT